TTTCTTTTTTCCTGTTCCTTTTTTATTTTTATTTTTCTTTGCCCTTCCTTCCCTTCTGTGGATAGAGATTCCTGCTATCTCATGTACAGTCAGCCCTCCCTATTCGTGGATCCCACATTTGTAGATTCAACCAACTGCGCATCAAAACTATTAAAAAAAAAACCATGAAAACATAACAATACAATAAAAAATAATGCAAATAAAACAATATAGTATAAGAACTCTATATGTAGCGTTTACATTGTATTAGGTCTTATATGTAATCTAGAGATGATTTAAAGTATATGAAAGTATGTATATGGATTATATGCAAATACTGTGCCATTTTATATAAAGGACTTGAGCATCCACGGATTTGAATATCCACGGGGTACTGGAACCAATCTCTCTCAGATACTGAGGGATGACTGTATGTCACCCACATTTTCTCAGTGTGATTGAAATTGTAATTGCTGAAATTATATATCATGATTAGGAAAATAATAATGATCAAACTTTTGATTTTTCTTAGGCTAGTAAGGATTTAATTTTTCTCTTATTAGTATAACAAAATGGGTAGTAAATTGTGTTTTTTGTTTTGGCAGGGTCTGAGAGAGACTAAACATCCATATACCTTTGTGTCAAAGGAGGCTTTTAGAGAATTACTTCTGGTCAAAAGTGCTCCTGAAAAAACTGTTCCTTTGCTGCCTAGACTGATTCCTGTGCTAAAGGCAGCTCTGGTATGTCATTTATTTCATTGTACTTTCCATTTCAAAACATATAATAAAAAAGAAAGCTATAATATGTGTAAAACATTTTCTGCCTTCTTTCCCCTTCAAATTATTTGTAAATTAGTCCTTTACCTGTGGTTTTGACATATGCGCAGAATTAGGCCACTATTATTCAGGGCCATGTGATTACATCCCTGAAGATAGCTTGAGAGCATGTACTAAAGGTAAAAAGGGATATTTTGAGTAATTAGAGAAAGTAATGAACCTCAAATCAGCCTTTCTGTATGCTAGATATATTTTAATTAATGCTCAATCTGGTTGAAAATTTGTTTTTTGCTTCTTGATGTCCTGCATTGAGGGTTATTTTTTAAATTCTGTGTTGCTAATTATCTCCTGATTTTAAATGTTTAATCTATTTTTTTCTCCACCTACCTTCCCTTTATTTTAACCCATCTTTCCTTTCCTTTTCTCTTCTTTTCCCCAATGCCTCTGCACTCTCAACTAACAAACCCTACAGGTGCATTCGGATGATGAAGTGTTTGAAAGAGGATTGAATGCCCTGGTACAGTTAAGTGTTGTTGTTGGTCCTTGTCTAAATGACCATCTGAAACATCTGCTTACCAGTGTACGTACTGCAAAGATTAGAGAGTGGTTTTGTATATGTATCATGCACCATCCATATCTCTTCATGATTTAATGGTTTCAAATTATTCTTTAAAATAACTTAAAACCCTAAAAATAACCTCATCATCCTAACCAAAACACATAGAGATTGAACCTAGTTGTTCATAAAACATTTTACTAATGAACAGTTTTCTCTTTAATAGTTTTTAATGGAAAGTGTATACATGAGCAGAATTTAGGGTTGTAATAAAAAGTTTGCACAAGTTGAATGGGTGAAAATTAATGAACAGAATAAAATGGTATTGTGCGTATGTTGACTAGCTG